CACCACCACCACCACCACCACCACCACCACCACCACCACCACCACCACTCGCTCCATCTATGTGACCATTCAGACGTCTGTACTTTTCCTAGTCCACTCAACTGTTTCATTCATTCATTCACAGTAGCGTAAAAGTTCGCTAAAAAGTATCGATTAGCAGCGTTTATGACCTGATTGAAATACCAACCAGTATCAGAACTTAGAAGCTTGAACCATAGTGACGCTTCTCTGTAACTCACTTTGCGACCGAAACTCGTGTCATGGATATAGTGTTGTACGCTCTGGCAGCATAATTGTGTCCAGATTTATCCGATTTTATCACATTATGTTTATATTTTAGTCTTCACCTAAAATAACAGAATACCACTCCGTGCTGTTTTATTGTTTGCATTCGTTGAAAATCGATGAACGTTGGCTCAACTTGTCTATCGCAAATCAATGATTTCATGAATGTCGTTCTCATTGGCCACAAGTAGATTTTTCATAAATTTAATTGGTCGACAATAATGCAATGGCAAAAGGCGAGACATTTAATTTGTCTAGATGTTTAATAAAACGATTGTGCACTAACCATGCTCCCGATGACTGGAATCAGTTTGGGTCACTAAAAAACAGGTCTCTAAAGTTGGTGCACCTCAGTTATTATGGATTTAGCAATTGATTTTTGCGCTGTACAAAAGCATTAATTTTAGTGATATTGGCAAGCGTATGCGATCTCCAGCCAAATGTCTTGGATGGATTTCACTAAGTTATGAAAATAAGGGTTGACTTTTAAAAGCTTGAATAATGGCATCAATCTGCATCTAAATTACATATATAACTCAAAAATGCTCTACGGAAAAGCGGCACGACGTCTAAAAATGAAATGTGAAGAAAAAATCTAACAATCTTGTTCCCACGGTGTGTAGGGTAGGAAAGATTATGTAAGCGGCATGAAAATTATTTCATATCACATCTGTGTACTAAAATTAGACGTTGAGTGCTTAGTTGGTAAATTCGTTATCTGAATAATTGCTGTGGGCGTGAAAGACATCCTGTCTAGTTTCGACGATCCATTCATCTCAAATCGAATCGCTTTTTTGCACGTTAAGTGTTTTTTTCTGCACTCTCAAGCAGAAGACACTTTTTAGACACCAGGCTATTTTTTTTTACAACATCTGTACAAAATCTAATTTAAATCTGGATTCCACTTTTCTTAAGCATTTAAAGAAAGACCACAGCCTCTTCCTGTTATACCACAATATTTTCAAATGCTAATGTTGTGATGAGATCAGAATTGCTCGAGTTGATCAGTTTATTGAACCTTTTTTGGCCTAAACACAACGATAGTTACAGAACTAATCGCTATTTTTGAAGAATTTTATTGCAGAACACACCATTAAGGTAAAATGCGACCTCACGTAAGCCCCTAATCAAATTGCAAAACACTTTCGAGATTTCGAAATGCTAGTGAGCACATAGTAATCAACTAGCCCCATTTCTGTGATTGGTTAAAATTTTGCTTTTTGAATATAATTCAAGCATGAAATTAAAACACAGCCCCCTTGCATTCGCTCAAGAAGGCCATCTGGTATTTCCTTTGGCCTTCTCAGCTGTTCGGCACGTGTTTTGTATTTGAACTTCCCTCCGGATCGATACTTTCTGCTCTTGGCAGCTACCTGACAAAGGCTGCAAATAGGACACGGTAGACTTGGGTCAAAGGTATGGGCTGTACCACGTCTTCTCCTAACTCGGTTATTGAGGGGGCAGCTAGAAATAGCAACCAGAATGCCGGAGACAATAGCGATGTGAGCCTAGTTTCTAAGGAAAATGAACCCATCGACGTCGCAGGGAATTCAGCTGATAGTGTCGAGGTGGAGAAGGAAACCACAGACAACGTAGCCAACCTTGAGCTTAAAATGACCTTTGAGAAGGAGGAGCCCATTGTCATAAAAGCCGACACTCAAGATCTCATTCAGACCCATAGCGATTCCAACATGCCTGAGGTTATGGCAGCCAAGAAAGGATACGTGGCCTTCGAAGTCAACCTGGATGGTCAAGTGGATCCGTACTTAGACACTTCTAAGAGGCCTCTGCCTAAACGCCTTAAAGTAAGCCTTATATTCATGTAGATATGACTACAAACTTCTCAATCTAGCATCTTGAACCACTTCCCGGGGCTCCGAAACTAACAGCCGAAGAGTTGAATGAAAAGCTAGAGCGAGCAGAGCAGAAACGTTTAAAGGTATGGTTTGGCTTGTCCATCTGTACTTTTACCTCTTTATTGGTATTCTTGAAAAAAAAAAGCTTGCAAATTTAGTGTTAACTGCAACATGACATTAAAATTAAATACATGGATTTAATCACATATCAGGTTAATCGTAAGTAATCATTTCTATCGATTAAAAGAATTATATTCAGTCCAACACGCGATGAAATGTATTGTTTCATTCAAATCCCAAGCGTTTGAGAATTACATAGACCAGCCACGTCGGTACTAAGGAAACTTTTATTCCCAGTAGATAAGAGTTATACTGGTTGGCTATTATGAATCGTTAGACAGTCGAGTTCTACATACGGCTGCTTCCACTCAATTAGTCAGCTAGAAAGCATGCTACCAAAATAGCATTGCAAATAAGCATTACAGCATGGTTCATGGTATTTGGCTTTGATAACTAGTCATTCAATTGTTAAAGCAATTTTTCCCCATAGGATTCTGTCAAATACCTTTGAAGCCTCTGAAGGAACTGCGGTAGATAAAGACGAATCAGCATGTCCACTCCTAATACCGACTTCCCAAGACCACGGAGTGTTAGATGACCTTGTGTGTTTGGAATTGTGCTTCCTAAGATTTGCTCCGTGAATTTTGCTTGACTAAGGTTTATCTATCGGAATCTGAAAGAACAGCGAACCCGCCTCAACGCAAAATCCGAACTCTCTGCAGTCACAACATTTCAACAAATAGAGACGTAGTGACAGATTCATTAAAACGTGTTAGAGAAATAAGTTATTTAAACTTCTTTGCGATGACTCTTGCTGTGCACTTCCTATTAGGCACTGGCCATCAGAAAGTCGGGAATAAGCCGTCGACTCGGGACGCATTTGAAGCCAACCCCAAATCAGACTGGAGATGCTCCCAGAGCCGTGAGTCACAGCATCTAATCTTTATGAATAATCAAAATGTCTGTGAGTAGGCGTAAGAGAGGATTTAGTGGTGCTATGTATGCCATTTGGAGTCATTTACGGTAGAAGCCACTAGCCAGTCTTAGTCGATCACGCTCATCCACGATGCGGGGTCAGCGTTAACTACCTAGTGTCGACACTTGAGATGGAATCCGGATTCAGCAAGATGTCACGCATTGGTTAGTTCTGATGTCTGGAATCTATGGATATATGCCTACTAACGGGATACTCGACGTTTTCTTGCAGGCTCCACGCGAAGAAGAGGCTCCAGAGAGCGAGTCTGCAAGCCTCGGTACAGCCGAAAACAGTGAGTTTTGCTGATTTTAAACTCATCGCCGGTTCTTACCATTTGGACCAGAATCCCTTAAGTAGGTAATTCAAGATAAACATGAAACAGCGCTTTAGTGAATTCGTGTTCAAATATACATTTTTCCGGCAGCTAAATAGAGATTAGTGTTGCTGAAAATCTGACCTAGTCTGACTAATCAGGCATTAGCATGTCTTCGATGTAGGATAGAACAAAATCAAGTGAATCAGAAAACTCGGCAAATTCCGGACATGCACCATAGGTGGTGCAGGAAAGCCAAAATAATGGAAAAAATACAGAAACGTCTATCAGTTTGCCTTTTGAAAGGATTTGAAAGCCAACAAGTTTTATTGGATATTGACTTCGTTATTCCACCAGATGCACACACACACAACCATTTCCTTGCCGTCTAGGTGCAGAGGCAGTCACTCCCACGGAATTGAAGGACGGTTCGGAGTCGCCAGAATCTTCCGTGAAGCCGGAGGCGAAGGAACAAGTCGCCGAGTTGGAGCAGCAGATGGCGAGTTTCGAGGTTGTCGACCTGTACGACAGCAACAACAACAACGTCAGCGAGCCACCGACCCACGTCCCACAGTTGCGATATGCTAAAGTCGTCGAGCCAATGGCAGAACAGGTAGTGGTGCAGCACCACCGGTTGAACGCCGTCCAGGAGGTTGACGAGTGGGACAATTGAGTTCGGAAGACGTAGGTGTGCGCGCGGCGAGTGTCCGCTCGAGTCTTCCATGTTTGCCGTGTTTTGACTGTTGGTAGTTTGGCGTAGGCTCCACTTCACCGTTTGTTAGACAACGCACCTTTTGTGAGCCAGGTTAATACTTTGTAAACACCCACACACACGCACCCACATTGTCAGCACAGGAGCTGCATGCTTTAGGAAATAAATAATTCCCTCTTCACAAGACACATAACGTCTTCGGTCTGTTAAGCTTTTTGGTATCAGACCCCTGACTAGGTGAGCAGCAGTGATCAGGGAGTATCCAAGGCCAGTTTACAGTCTTAGGGTCCTTCATTGCTAGAAGATTGTGGAAGAAGTCACCAGTCGTCGGAGTCACCAAATGGGGTGGTTTGCAGGCACTGCCTTACAAGCCTTTTATAGTTAACAGCCCGAGAAAAGAGGCAACAATAGACACGACTGTTTATGAACGCTAGGCCAGGCAAATGCTTTGTGTGCGGATGAGTGAGCTTGCGTGACGGGCGACTGAAAACAGTAACCAATGAAATAACGATGGGGTCATTGGCACTATGAGGTCACGGGATGACTGGCAGTCCACTAAAGATTCGTAGACAGCTAGAAACAGGCTAAGATGTCAAAAACGCGGAAAAATCCATTCCCATTCTATGTAGCAAGTTTCTGGGTTAACTGGGGGTTAAAATGGCGCGGCCGAAGTAAAATGAAATTTCGTTTTGTGACCTTTGTCATCTAAATATCATGAGGTAAGCACCCCCTTTGTGACTTCCATGCAGTTACCAGGTCGTCGTCAACTTCATTTCACTAAAGCTATTGATAATAGTTATGTAGTGTCGTGGTAGCAGCACTGGTAACTGTAGCGAATTAACAGCGATCGCGCCTGAGTGAACCCTGGTTACCGACCTGACGGTGACAATGACTCATCCCTTTTTTATTGGTTACTGTATCAGATGCCAGTCATCCGTTCACTCATACACACACTAAGACCAGCTTGGTTGGCGTGACGCTTATAAATAGTCGTGTCCCCTGTCGCCTCTTTTTCCACTGTTCTCTGGTTGTTTCGGACTTTTAACTAGAGGGTTGTAAGGTAGTGCCAAACTCTAGCCACCACATGACCTCGCTCAATTGATCTTCACCGAATCGTTGAAGATCAAGCCTTGTGCCAATTTCCTCCTCGTTTAGAATAGGTGATTGTCGTTAGAGTTAATTGAAGATATGGCGTTTTCAATTACATCGTACTACCTTCAAACATCAGTAAGGTCTCAATTTGGGCTGCTACAGGGAACCACATTTTCTACAAGATTTCAGGTGACTGCAAACACCAAATAATGTTGACTTTCGAGGCTTCACAAATAACCGTCGGGTGAGTTTGTCAGCTGCCCTCAACAAATCCGTCCGAAGTTTGGCCAAAAATGTTTAGTCCAGGCTTATTGGCCCGACACTTTGTATTCTCGTTTATTGGACTTCCTTCCAAATTGTTTAAGCACATGGTAGCCCATTACGTCTAGGGAGAGAATAAGCAGTTGGACCCACCTTGAAATGCCGCTTCATTTCTCATCACATTTTTCTCCGATTCTTCCAGGACATTTTACTTAGAAGCGCATCGGAGAGGGTTGCCAAGTTGTCACACAGCTTTGCGTGTGAACACAGTCGTTAGTTGGATAATTCCGTAAATGCCGACTTTGTTAGCGTCATGGGAACTTGGCCAAAATTGCAGGTCCTCAGCTAGCGCAACCTTAGATTAGTTAACGTAAAACTTTAACAGGTTTTGTGGTCCACATCATTCGGGTGCTAATTCAGCAAAATAATTGATTTAGTCCATATGGACACCCCGAAATTGCGGACACACCTAAGTAAACGATCTGAACCAATCAGAACGCTCGAATATACAGGCCTGTTTCCTTCGAAATGGCAATTTTTAGATCTGCAAAAAAGGTTAACAGGGAGCAAGGTAATTGGTAACGTGGGTTTGCATGAACACCTCTTGTGGATGGTAAAGGCAAAGAATGCAAGAATGAGCAGGAAAATGTTAGATCAAACGATCGGATTAGTGCATGCCGTCGTGATTACTACTAAGTGAAACCGCCGACAGTGTTAACAGATGCAAAGTTAATCGTTTTGCAGGTATACAGGACAAGAGCCACGCTGATTTCATAAACGCTGTTTGGTGTTGGCAATCGATAACCAATAAGATCACAAGCGCATTTTCATTGGTTACGAACCGAAAGTTTATGAATTCGATTGGTTGAACTTTGTAAATTGGAAGTAAATGGTTTTATTGACTTGATAGTGTAGCCTTTGAATATGAATTTCGAAAGTGTTCATCCTAACGACCCAAATCCTCAAGAAATCGGAATCGCTTATCCGCCTTCACTATCGAATGCACAAGCTAAGCAGCGTGTTCGGTTAGTCCTACATTAATTTAAGCCTCCTCTGGATCATTTGCAACTCGAATTTTTAAAGTCCCAACAGGCTAAACAACTGCCACTTCCCTTCAGTCCATTCATGCACCCAATCGCGCCACAAAAAGCCGAATTTATTCAGTGCGGCAACTACCTGATTTTTGTTGTTATGCAACAAACGCGAAATTGTCTGTTTCCTGCAACAAGAATGACTAATGCAGTCCAACTGGCCGTGGCGGACATCGTCTTCCTCCCAGCTGACTTGACCGCTTTGCTAAATCGACGATCACACACTCGTTAGTGGAAATGTATCCTCATATTATTGGCTACAGTATACAGGCTGAGGTGTATATGTATATATATATATATATATGCACAGTGAATGGGGAGACATTGGTTCTGTCAGTGGGCATGCGTGCGACCACGAGAGTAGGGAGGTGCGCCAGGCAGCCTCGGTCGATTGAAACACGTGAAAGCGCGCACACAGCCACGAGGTAAATGCATGGGGCTGGGGGACACGACGTCTGGTTAGTCAGAGAGCAGGGGAAGAATGTGGAGGAGGAGGAGGATCGTATGTACAAATACAACATGCGAGGCGAGTCCACACGAGGATTGCCACCAGGCACCGGGTTTCCTTCAGTCTAGACAACAAAAAGCCACATTTGAGGTCTCATGAATCAAGGCGAGGTTTAACTGCAATGGCTAAACATGACCGTCAGCCTTGTTACAAAGTCATTTATGTTAGCTAGTGGAATTTCAAACGAGAATTGGGTAAGTCAGCGGTGGGACTAGTACTTGGGAAAAACCCCATTTCAACACATCGAAACTCAGCAAGGTCCACTGGCAACGCGGTTTCGCCGCACCACCACACGAAGGGGAAGATACGCTTAATCGAATCCCTGAGTTCACAGGACTGCCCACGAAAAATCAATAAAATGGATAAAGGGGAAAGATCACCTCCAACGGCGGCAGCAGCAGGCGTCGAAGACTGACGCTTGCTCTGTTCCAGGGCGGCGTTGAGTTCGGTGAGCCAGCGAATGCGGGTTTCGGGGGAGTGGGGAGCCAGCACGTGGCAGAGGTGCGACTGCAAACCGCTCTGTGCACCGCCGCCGCCGCAGACGCCCGACGCCGTAGACTGGCGGGGGCGCTCGGACACGCAGAACCACAAAACTTGCTCCTCTGTTGGCCTCGAGCCTGCAACGCTTATGTCCTCCTGCAAAAAGAACGCAAATCGTCAAGTTGCACAAAAGATTCAAGCAACTCCGGGATAAGAAGGGAGCGAATAACGCGCTTATTACCACTTGTACCATTAACTCAACAAGTTACATTGTTCAAGGCAGCAGGAATAGCCTGCAATGGGCCAAAGTATTCAGACTGGCTGAAATACACAGGGGTCTTGTGTTAACCGAGAAAAGGAACACGAGTTAGCATCAATTTTCAACTAAGAATGAAATTCGGGGTGGAAGCGTCCAGATAGATCCAGATTCGCAGCTCAGAAGTAATCGATTCTAGGAAGGAAAAGTAGCTTCAACTCAGTAACCTAAATTCAACAATTCACGTTACCCGCAGGAACTATTTACAGAGCGCTTTTGGAATAGCTATGCGCTTTAAAATCACACAAGATTTATTAATCGAAATGATGTCATTCTCCACGATGATAATGCAACACCTGACGGCTGCAGAATCGCTTGAGACGAACTAAAAGATGTGAGCAGAATAAAAAATCACTAGCAACAAGTGAACAACGACAAAACCGAGACGGTTGTCATCGTGAATGCTTTGCGGCCAGTAACTTTATTGCGAAAAATTCGTAAACCGCACCAGGAGACACAATTAGAAGCACCTTGGAGGTCAACCAAAATGGATCCACGATTCAGCGCCGAAAAGAATATGCTGATTTATTGACGGGAACATACCAGAATGGCGATCTGAGAGAAGGGCAAGAAGTGCCTGAATTGGCAGCGCATTTGTCGAGTGACACCGTCACACCTCGACGTGGCCTCGACGGCGGCGTCGGCAATCACCAGGCCTCGGTCGAACAGCATGAGGTGTCGATTGACGAAGCACAGCGATGTGGAGTCCTCCGCGATCGCCTTCAGCAACTCATCGTCTTGCGCGGCTGTTGAGGTGGCAGCGGAAGCGGCGGCGGCAGAGGTGCCGTTGTTGTCCACATCGCCACCTCCGATGGTGAGATCGGCCAACGAGGCGTCCAGCGCGCCGACCAGCTGAGACGCCACGGGAAGGGAGCCGTGAAGGAGTAGGTGGCCGAGGTTATTCTGCTGAAGGTCCGAGGGCACCCCGGTGAGAACGGGAGGGAAGGACTGGCCGACGCCTTCCTCGCTACCCTCACCTGCCACCTCGACCATTCGCGAGAGGTTGAGCTCAGAATTCGCCGTCTACGGGGGAGGGGGGAAACGAAAGAAGACTTCGGTTATTACAAACTCCGAAAAACGTGCACGTTAGATGGAGAAATCGATGAGTCCAGAGGTGATTAGCAAGATGTGATGAAAAATAGCCCATATTGCACTTCTGTAGTACTTGTGTATCACTAATTTGGCCTCTCTGTGATCTTTCGACTTCGATTCGACCATTATCAGACGGAATGCAGATCGCGTCACAAATTCGAGGTTGAAAAGCCGACCCACACAACTTCCTCCTGCCTCCAAACCACTCCTTCACTTCACCCCATCGATAACCCATGACATCCACAAGGCTTCCAGTTTTGCACTTTCGTGAATTATCAGCACACGGTGTCCTGTCCGATGACGCATAAAAGTGGCCGACGAAGTGGAGAATGCGTTTGGAAAATGGCCTGCTCCGTCTCCGTTCCACGTCGCCACTTCTCGCTGGAGTTTGGCGTCACATTTTGGAGGTGATGCGAGTTGGATTTGACGCCACTGCGCGATTAGAGCAAACAGCCGAGATTATCGTGCACCGCCTGACTGCACAAAGGAAGCCTCATGATTTACGAGGTGGATTGTCAAAACTACACACACACACACACACACACGCATAAACACACACGCACGCACGCAGGCCTGCTTAAACAGTTCACCATCATTAACCTTCAAATTACACCAAATTCAGAAAAGGTTATTCGGCCGATAGTGGCAAAATAATAAATTCGAAAGTCAGGGATGACTCAGACGGCTTTAGAAAAAAACAACTTTTGCCCTTCCATGTTGCAAAACGCGCGGATCACACTTAAGAAGTCAAGCTTTCAGCCGCCAGACATGGCGTTCCCACTCCAACTCGAAAAACGCAATTTTTGAAAACAAAAGGGGGAGTTAGACACAAATGGGGCTTCGCGATCGTTGATCATGAATTTGTTAAGATTTTAGCAAACGAATTAAAGGTAGTTGATGCAATAAGTAGGATGAGCGACAGGATGAACACAATGTGGCCATTTCAAGACGTCTTGACTCACCTGAAGTTCGCCGTCCATGGTGGAGATGTTGAGCGTCGAAGGCGAGCGGCTGGACGGCTGCTGAAGCTGTCCCACGCCATCCCTCGCAGACTCGCGTCCCTCCAGCTGGTTCTCCATCGACGAGTTGACGCCGGAAGTGGCGGTGGCAGCGGTGGTCGGGAGAGCCTGCAGCTCAACCATCGGCGGAGGCAACTCTAACTCTACGCTCTCTTCCGAGACGTTGTCCAGGAGGGCGGCGTTGTCCTGCGCCGAGGTGGCAGCCCCCGGTGTCGGAGCAGGGTGCTGTGATGTCGCAGCCCTAGCTCGCTACAAAAGGAATACGGCGTTTGTAATAAGCAAACTATCGCCCTCGAGTGCAATAAAAAGAATGTTGGGGGCTCATGTTTGCGCATACCAGCTTTCTTACTCATATCCCTCTCCTTCTTCTACTCACACTAAGGCGCATGTGGACGCGGACCGGGCTTGGCTGGGACAACGAGGTCATGTCACGTGTGAGAAAGCGGACAGCGTGCTAACTAGGAGAGCCTTTAATTGTACGCGGAGTTTTGCATCTGTGTACGGGCTGCCATGACAAAAATGCCGACTAGCGGTCCGAATTTGATGATTGGTTGCGCTGAAGAGCGTCTAACAGAGCAATAACCGTCATGCCGGGTAGAGCAAGTATCCATTGTTGGCATGGCACAGCACAAACAATCAGGCTAGATTCTGAAAAACTACACGATAAAAACCGTTTTCTAGTGACACGCTCCGAAGCGCAGGCGTGCTTTCATCAGATGTTCCGCTATCTGTGCTGATATGCGAACAAGATGTGTGTGTGTGCGCGCGCTTTACAATCACCTTAGCATCAAATTATGCGTGCACGATCTACCGAGTTCACAAAAGCTACAAATTTCCGTACATAAAAAACCAACACTTTTTTACAGTGCTTTGGTCGTTCAAAGGTACTTTAAGACAAAAATCTACGGGCGCACACACCATTCTGCGCGTCCTTTCCAGTAGTTTTGGGCCTGTGTTGTGCTAGGTTTTTGTTTTGTTATTCGAGAATAGACAACTAAAGCATTTTCGTCGCTTTGCGTTTGTAAGTTAATAACCCTTTAATGCGCAAAGATAGCTCAATTGTGAGAGGATATTTGGCGTGTTCCAGGACATTTTAACACTACAAACACCTATGCACAGAGTCCTACTTGTGGAATATGCATCACTACCTCCGTAGAACTGATCTTCCATCACTACCCGATAACTCTGATCGATGTGTCCACTCGTCTGGCTAGGTTGGCTGAGGTTTCAGTCAAAAAAGCACTCGATTTGAGAATCTGACATGACCTAAAGCCAACCTTTCGAATCATTAGTGTGCGCTTTGAAGAAGATGATCGTAAGAACTACAAAGTCATTGATTGGAATCGGAAAACAGAGCCAAATCACTATGCAAGAATGCAGATCCACGGTGGGTCATAGCGACGAGAAGGAGGTAAACTCACGTGGACAAGAGGAATGGGCGGTGGCACCATATCGGCCTTGGATCCACGTTTGCCGGCAGAATTAGGAATGATTTGGCGTCGCTCCTTGGCGCCAGTGCCTGACGGCAGCCAGCGTCGCATGGACAGCCGACCTCCGCTGCTAGCACCACCACCACCACCAGAACCGGAGGCGGTGACGGAGGCGGCGCGGGGGTAGACGGGCGCGCCGAGCAGGCGGGCAGGAATGAAGCCCTCGTCGACGGGGGCGTTGGGCGAGGCGGCGCTGCCAGTGACCACGAATCGCACCAGCGCCCAGGGCATGCCTCCCGCTTCGCCGTCCCCGTCTGCCGACGGTGTGGGAGTTGGCGGCGGGGAGCCGACGCTCTCGGTTGTCGGCTGAGCGGTGCGCTGGATGAGCTGTACAATCTGATGAGCGGCCACCGAGATTTCGTTGGGACCCTGGGCCTACAAACAACGCATAGCTACGGAGTGAAGAACCAAGGCAACGACAACGATAAGCATTAATTGCTGGGTTAAAATTCCAAACCAAAATCAGTCGTCAAAACAGGTGCACACTTCTCTAGGGGTACGCATAGCGGTCGGATTGAATCCATAAAGATTACAACTACGATGCGAGCAATTTAGCTCGCATAAATGCTACCGTAAATTACGAGAAAAAGTGTAAAGCGAGGCTTCAGAAATAGTCGTAATTGATCGCTTCTTCTGCGAAAATGTGCGCGTACTTCAGTCGGGTCACAAACGAGGTACGCATGAAATCTAAATCGCCACACAAACGCCTGCTTTTGTTCGTTTAGAGCAATAATAGGGACCCATTGGAATCGTAAAATGGGCATTGAAAGCAATTCGACATCAAAATCGACAATCTGGGGGAATGTTTCGAGGCGTTTCAAGCTGATTTGCTCGAATAAAGAGAGATGTCGATGGCCTTGACTGTCCGCCGTGTTTACATTGACGATGCGAACGTGTGTTCTCGAGGATTCCTACCGACGTGTTCGCACCAAAATCGCCGATACTTCATTGTTTGTGTGTGTAGCGAAGGTAAATTTACGCAATAAGTGCCTGGATCCGTAAAAAAAGCAGGTGCTTTTCAAGCTGGAGTTCGGATTACACTTTAACTGCAAAACTATGTTGACGACTAAAGATATCTAACTCAATTGCGAAGAGAGAAATTTCACCTTCTAAACAGTTTTAGTCAAGGCAAGATTAAAATATAGTTGAAACATTTTAGACGACTCAGTCGACGCCGTGATCTCAAAAGGGCAAGAGCACTTCACTTGCTATTGGACAAGAATCTAGCCAATTGAGGTAACAGGGGATGAGCATCACAGACCTGATAGTTTTCTCGAATGTAGTAGGCATCGAGAGCGGAGATGCTATCGGCGCCGAGTTTGTTCGGCGCAGCGCCGCCCTCCTGGTGCAGACTCTGCACGCTGAACATTCGCTCGCGCATCGCTTCGCGGATCGCACGCACCCACGTCTACGGAGGGACGAAACAAAAAGACGGCTAATTATGCCTCAATCAAGCTGACAACTAGTGAACCAGGGATGAGATTTGAGGATGCACCGACCACACAAAAGACATCAATTACGGCGACAGACTCGAGGTTTAACAGGCGTAACTGACCTGTTTCACTTCGAGATTGGGAGCCTTGAGGACGAGGCGGTAGTCGCTGACAGGCGGCACACGACCCGTCCATAGAGCGAACTTGCACTGGTCGCCCTCGATGTGTTCGGTGATATTCACGTCGGCGAGAAGGAAGCGAGACTTGAATTGATACCTACCAGTGGGAGGTGAAAGGACGTGGAGTGGAGAATCAAGGGCAAACGATGGACAACCCGGGTGGTGCTATTGACAGCTGAAACGACAGCTTGGCGAAGTTGTGTCAAACGCAAGGCCGACCATTATACCTGGTGCATAGTAATCTGGAGTGTGACACACGCCATTAAGAGGCTAAAAGGCTTCGTGTCTGTAAGAAAGCAGTCTAAGCAGACCCCTATATTCAACAAATTTACCGGCTTTTTAAGTCGACACACTTTTTGAATGAAGAAATGATAGCCCACATGAATCCAGTTTGAAAAAAAGCGCAATCTAAAAGCTAGATTTAGAAGTTTATAGTAACTAGACTTGGCACCATTGGATGAGGTCCCAGCGAAATGGAATCAAATACACAATTTGAAAACTTTTTGAACCAATCAAAACGTAGGTAGGTGGAAGAAAAAAAGGCTCAAAACACGCGTTTACTTCATTTTGCTGTCACCGGGGCTAACAGGGCATTCCTTGGCGAGCACCAGACAGATGTCAAAGAGGAAGACGCGACGATCACGAGCCTTCTTGATGAGTTGCTTGGGCTCCCACACGGTGAACTGGTCTTGCAAGACGACGTCGCCAAGACACGACATCGGCAGGTCGTCTGGCAGGCCCTTTGCGAGGGAGAAAGAGAGGGAGAATCAGACAAAGACTCAGACTGGTGTGCCAATGAGAAAACCGCTGCGAGATGGCAGGAAAGGCTTACTTGGAGCATTCGCAGGTGGATGGCTTCGTTGGCTTTCTTGGGGACCGCCATCATGACGTCGAGGCCTTCGGAGAGTTCGCCAGCCGACGCCTTGTCGCAGCAGTCCCTCAGCTCGCGCAGCAGTAGCTGGTACTTGGTTATGCGTTGCACCGGTTTGATCAGGAACGATTGGAGCGGCTCGCTGAGTTGGAAACGCAGTTGGAGTCGCCCGAAGAAGTTCTCCGTGTCGCCCACCAGGATGTGCATGGAGTCCTCCTTGTTGACGCAGTACTCCACATACAGACCGGCGAGTCGGTCGCCGAAGGAGACGAAGCAGTGGCCTACGTCCTCGGGCAAGAAGTCGCCACCGCTGGCGTACTTGCAGATCTCGGGCTCAAAGAACTTCTCGTGGAAGTGGTAGATCTCCTCCAGATTACCAAAGACTACCTTCTCTTTGCCTGCTATGCTCGCGGGAATCTAAGAAACCGGAATATCGGTTGGAATTGATTGCGAGACTAGTTTGGCTGCATACTAAAGACAATTTTACCAGTGTATTTAGTTGAGCTGAGCAAAGTGAAACTAGACAAAACACAGCAGGTATGAAAGTTTTTACGCTGGCACTTCATAGATGACAATGACCACCACAAATGGATGCATTCGATTGTACACTCTGCTGTAATGGCTCCATGGTGATACTGTCGTGGGCCCCAGCATGTGGTCTTGAACCGCGCCGGGGCCACGAAATTAATCCTGGCCCAATTACGTTTCTCTGATGCCCGCGATGAAGAAAAAGACCCCAAAGGACGTGAACACAACCGTTTACTTCAGAACTCAATCTCGTTGGTGTCGTTGTGTCGTGCGTGGGGTTTGCGCGTGAGTATTTATGCCTCGGATGTGTGAGTCATACATGAGCTAACATCGAGATCTAGGTGTGAGGATAATCCAGGATAAATATCCGTGCGGATGAGGAGGGAGTTGAGGATCCGCGCGGCTGGCGACATGCTGCGAAAAGGGGAACCCTGTGTCGGAGGTGGAGCGACCGGATTAAGGGGTGTGAATGAACACGATTCACAACAATACATTACAATGCTGTGCAAGTACATCTAGGTATAATCAGGACCAGATGAGGCCACCGCAATCATGATTGGTTGCGATGCCACAAGTTTGCTCTAATTTAACAAAACAATTAAGAAGACTGGGGATGAAAAAATCATGTAAGGTTGCTTTGTCCACTAAACGAATAAACAGATTCTGAGGAGCGTACAAAGAAGTATTGCTGGAAGTAGACGCAAAACAAACTCTGCGTACCAGTTTTTTTTTTCAAATTTCTAACAAAGCAAGAAAGCTGCTAGGGCTAACAGAGAGACCTATAAAGTTTGTGGTGCTGAATGCTCAACAGAAATTGCGCTAGAGTTCACGGAGGAGTTGTTGAATGAATCATAAACGCACATGATTGGAGATGCCTCAAACTCAATGGGTAAAATTACCTAATACGATTGGTGGAATGTGTTAATGGCGTCGCAGAGTCCACAAAATGACCAATCAGATGAAATTATGAAAAAAAGAGGTAATAATTAGTCAAATTCTGCTCGTCAAAGCTAGGTTGGGGAATAGGGATGTGTGTCACGAAGTGATCGTCAAGACAGTGGCAAAAAATAGACAAAACACAGCCGAAGGCACCAATTAAGCGAGTGCAATGACATGTGTGTGTGTTTGTGTGCGTTGAAACCTCACGGCCTCCATCTAATCCGCAACGGACAAGCAACAGACGACACCGACAACGATGATCAGACAGGATTAGAAATCCGAACCACCAGCATTTAGGAAATACACGACGCGGCGTATGCTAAGAGGCCTCAAATTGTGGACACAATTTACGCTAGCCTTGCATAACGAAAAGCAGCAGAAGCCGAACACGAAGTCGGCAGCTAGGGCGTCAGCTGAAATTGGGGGTTTTCAATAAAAAGGAGCGTTGTCGAACCGACCTACCAACCTACCTAACTGCCGGAAACGCCATCAATCATGCAGAGAACAGTGACAGTGCATCGTGATTGGTTGAATCCGTGGTAGCTTGTGAATACTACGATTGACGGCGGTAACATGAATAATGAGTGGAATTTGCCTCGCCAACAACACCGAATATGGAAAATACGCATGAGAACGGCGATGCGGAAGGGTGACAAGGAGTCAACCGAATCCACGCGGCCAACACAATGAGGCACTTCCTCTCTCACTCCCTCGAGGGTGTGGAGCATTTGGGGGAAATTAATGCGGCAAATTAAATGCCATTTTTTTCGTGGTGACCTTTGCGATAGACGGCAGTTTTCGGCACAGGCGTATTTATTGCCTGCCGCTGTAACATCGGGAAGAACACACGCACACACGCACGCAATCCGTGGCTTGTGTGTGTGTGTGTTTCGCAGAGACATTATGCAACACGGGCACTGCTCGTCAATGCAAATAACTCCTACCACGCGCGCAAACAGGGGACAGCCGCGACGGAGATTTATGGCGTTTTCGCTGCGGCAGCGTCAAGTGAAAGGTGCGCTGGCGAGTTGAAAAGGCAGGTGGTGCCGAATGCAAATTGACGCATCGTTTGATTGACAGATACACACGACGCAGGAAGTGATAGGGACGTGGTGCAGCTGTGGCCGAGAAGATGGGTAACGACAACCTTCTTCGAAGGTGAAAAAGGGGAGGAAGAAGAAGACCACCATTGGAGAGCTCGACCGATAGTTGGAAGATACAAGGGAGTGAAGGGAATTTGCAGCCCACATAAACACAAAAAAAACTACAGCAACAGAGATATGGACGAGTTTTTGACCGGAAAAAAAACAATTCCAGAGGGTGCAGGAGACTTCACGACGAACTTAACCCTGAAATACGGCAGGCACTAAGTGGGAAATCAGGCCTTCTAGACAGGCACGTCCACGTGGAAACTGCCAAACAGGCATAAAACAGTACTTTGGCGATTTCTTGTAATTCCCATATGGATGATTTTCTCCCAAAACAGCCGTGGATGTGCACAAGCAGTTAATCAAACAGCGCGCGCCTAAATTACTCCAACTGGACGCGAATTCCGGTCACTAACCGAGTGTCATAACCAGGGTGGATTTCTGTGGTACCACCTGACAACCCTTTAAGACAAAAGGGTGTTCTAATTAGCGATGCCAGGCACGAATTCGGACACACTGCACATGCGAGGTATACTGTTAACGCCTCCTTGCACTTTTTGGTAGTTAACCAATTTCTCCCACTTGAAAGTCCACCGCCCGCGGTTCAAAACATGTCAAACAGATAGTTGGAATAGATCAAGACACAACTGAAATTGCACAACAAAGGACTGTGTAGCTGTGCACTCTTTCGGAGACCCAAGGTCTGCCTGTTAATCGTGATTTCGTGAGGTCAGATATGGGCACGTCCACGAAGGAGGGGTCGGTCGGGGCTAGCGAAATCACCGGGTGACAGAGGGCAAGGAAGCAGTCGATGAATGAGGACAGAACACCGGGGGTAAGAATGAGTGTGGATTTATCCTTAAGGACTACTGGATGCATCGACAAACAAGAAATGGCGACTGTGTGGCGGGAATTTGTCATACAACAAGGGCAGTGTTGTGTTGTAGGAGCTAGACGACTTTGTTGGACTGTATAGGCATGTGGAGTTGTGAAACCAAGGTAACAATAAAGCTAATTGAGCAAAATCAACCATGAAAGTCCATTAAGCACGGATTAGCTGCCTAAATCCACCACCGTCAGTAGCATAGCGAGAAGGCGATGAAGAGGAGGGGACAAACTCGTCATGAGTTGAGTCGTACTTCAATTAATTCAACAGATTCACAGTGGGAAATGGGCGAGACCACTCAACGCGAAGAATCTGTCGTGGGCCCCAGCGTGTGGTCTTGAACCACGCCGGGGCCACGGAATTAACCCTGGCCCGGTAACGCCTCTCTGATACCCGCGATGAAGGAAAAGACGGTAGAGGACGGACACAACCGTCTACTTCAGAGTTCAGCCACGTTGGTGTCGTCGTGTCGTGTGTGTTTATTTACAGCTCGGATGCGTGAGTCGGACATGCGCTAACATCGAGACCTAGGTGTGGGGATACTCAAGATAAATATTCGTGCTAATGAAGCGGAAGTTGAGGATTCGCGGGGCTGGCGACATGCTGCGGCAAGGGGAACCCTGTGTAGGTGGTGGGGCGACCGGATCAAGGGGTTGAATAAACATTATGCACAACAAATCCTCATAGTAAGCGCAGTAACTCAAAAAGAAGACGGGTGAAGGAACCAGAGGTAAAGCAGGTCTCTACATTTGAAAGAATGTTTGGTTTAGGCGAAACAAATTTATATATTTGTGTAGGCCAGGAGCGCGTTAAATCAGTTTGTCCAATAACGAGCGTCCTGCTACGTCCTTCGAATGCATCGATACGTCAATATAATGCTCATATAGACTAATAAAAGTACTGCAAAGATGTTACGTGTAGACAAGTACCAACTGTGAAGCAGATCCAACTTTGGTTAAGGATGGTTTTAAGACGCCGGTGCATTCTTTGAAACATTCCTGTGCATTTGCGTCCCCTGCCATCCACCTCACTCATCTAGGCGCTCAACCACTGAAAACTCATACACTCTCCCTCAAATTTAATTGGTCAACAGCCACATTTGTCATGCACTATTCTTGGATTTACACACACGACAACGAAACAACTCGGCTGAGCGATCTAGTACACGGCTGTGTCACCGCTCTATTTGGTCTTCTTGGTCCCAAAACGCGGCGGTCCCGGCGTGGTTTGAGACTAAATGCCATGGCCTTCAACAGAGGAAAACGAGTTCCTGCTACAGTCATATTCCCTTTGGTACTGAGTTATAGAAAAACGCCATACATACATTAGCGGAAGAGCTGGAAATCTAGATGGCTATAGTACAAATGATTTGGGTTTAGCTGTGTTCACGAGGATCGGCGAAACAAGGTGTGGCCGTGAGCCTAAACCAGGCGGGAGGGAGGGATAGCGCGATCGGGCAAAAAAAAAATCACGACAGCAGTTGCTCTTGTGCAGAAAAAAGAACTGCGATCCACCGCTCGCTAGTTGCACAAACCAACGCATCTATTCATCGAACTTAGTGCTGAGATATTAAGAAAAAAAAGCCAAGAGAAGTCACTTAGTTAGGCTTTGGGTAAAAGGTAATACGCTGACGTCCAACACACTCACGGCCTGGAGCGTTTGCGTAAACACACGCACACAGAACCTCATAGGTGTGGTGAGCGATTTTGGGCCTCACAGTAACCACACTAACACCTGACATTCTAGCCCTTCTAATTTAGAGCAATGACACGATTTGATTGGCCGGGAAGAGAGGCTAACCATCAGCACACCAAAGCTTACAGGTATGTCAACAGGTGGGTCCATGGTGCCGACGCGAAATGTTTCAAGACAGGTGCGCAGAGCAACCACGTAAGCGCGCTCCGTGGTGACGAGTTCGCGGAGGATGTTCTGGCGTCGATTGATGAGTTTTCGCTGCCCGTCGGTCAGGCCGACAGTTGCGGTGATGCCGACACTCGAAGCAGCATCGCTTGATGCCACCGCCGCGGAGCTACCAGTGCTCGAAACAGAGGTTCTGGGAGAAAACAACGGCAGTAAGGGAGATGCAAGAGGTTCCAGTGCGCATATCGAGAAAATTAAGCCAACACAGACCTGTTGGAGCCCGCACTGGTGGAGCGCATCTTCGCTGGGGCAGTGGAATCGCCTTCAGGCGGTCGAGGAGGTTCCGCAGAAGCCAGACAGGCATCGAAACGGTGGTGGATCTTGAGCAGACGATCGACATGGTGGGGGCCGATCCCGACATCGAGGAGGGCTTTTAGCGTCTGGCAGGCCCGTTTCACGCCGTTGTGGAAAGGCGATTGCAGTGGAATGAGAGGCAGAGCCGCATTGGGATCCTCCGCCGACTTCACCGGAGCCCCCACGGATTGGAAGATGCGCCGAGCAAGTTCGAGCATTTCAGCCTGCACCAAACACAATCATCCATCAGCATCGGGTTTAACTCCAAACGCGTGTGCACAAGTCGTGTCTTGCTTTTTTTTCTTGGCAAAGGCAAGGCAAGGTGTGACCAGAATAGCTACCGAGCCCAACCCACCTCCCTCCGCCGCGAAAGTGCGAACACCGTTGTTTACGCGGAGGAGTGAACTACGAGGCTTTTTACCAGACAAAACGGTTACGAGGAGACCTCATAAACAACACATAGTAATCCTGCTAGAGGCTTGAAGAATTGACACACACAGACAGACACTGACCTCGACGGCAACGAACTTGACGCAGTCCTCGAACCGCCGACGTTGGGCTGCCCACGCCTCCAGAACGGCCTGCTCCTTCGTCATGAGGTCGGCCATGTCGCTGCGTATTCGTTCCTCCACCTTGGAGCGACAGGCCGTCGAAGGAGGCTGGCGGTGCAGGTACTTCATGAACAGCTCGGAGGTTCGTCTGGAAGTGGAAAGAATGGCGACTAGTGGTAGTAGGTGCTGTTGGGTTTACATCTAGCTGGGCGATGTGACCACAGAAATAAAACTCTCTTTCCCACCAGGCGAATTGTGATTAAATAGGAAGAACATGGCGGGAATAGACGCGCACACAGAAACAAAACAAGGCAACGGTTTAAAATTGCGACAGACTGACCTTCTAGGCCATTGGCTATAGTCCCTGGTACGGTGTATTTTTTTGGCACGAACCAGACACTGTGAATAATGCGAGCGCAAATCACTTTGTCTGGCGTTGTCTAGTAACACAGCTCCATCACACGCAAGAGCAGAAACGTTTTGCGATTTGAAGGGAACACGAGTTGGGAAAAAAATATCCACCCAAACACAAAACTCACTCAAGCGGGACAGCACAGGAAGCAGGCTCTACCAACGCCAAGCATGGTACCATCAAGAATTCACCAGACACAGACTTTTAATGTAGCCAAGAAACTCAATTATCGAGGTGTGCAGTACATTTTCGCATGCTTAGGCGATAAAACGATGGCTTTGGTGCTTCAGTTAACTCAGCGCAACAGCGAAAACGCTGACCTTGCAAGAATACAGGCCTTGAGGAAGGCCTCCTTTTGTTCGCCGTGTTTGTTGAGAAGGTCGTTGAGGTAGGCCTCGACGTTCCCGCTGCCCAGGGCCTTGTCAGACCGGCACCAGTCCTCATCGCGACGATAGTCCTTCTCCAAGGAACGCAGCACCGAAATCACCTGTTCCGAGGTTTTGTACCTACATAACAGCGAGTACAATGAAACGCAGATTCAACGCGAGCATTCGAAGAACTTGACAATTGAGAGGTTGTGTACACTATCGGTAACGAAACGTTGGATTAACACCTAGCTCATTTATGATTTGCCAGACGCCGTGTACGCTAGAACAGCGGGCTGTGACATTTAACAGAGGCAGTCTAGACAACTGTTGTGGCCGGATTGTGCGAGGCAATGAAACTGGGTGTGTCTGTGGGTGGAAGTGTGTAACAATTGTGTCCTGTGGACTAATTAGACCCCAAACACAGGTGGTGAGAGCGAGAACAATCTAGGGGCTCGGCCACACGCCGACGATTGGTCCGCACTTGTTGCAGTTTGCTCCAACAGGCGAACAGTGACCAGTGGTAGTTAAATAACAAGGCCGCAAATAAAATTCAAAGACACCAAATGGAGGCAACTGTTAAGATATCCCACCAGTTAGTGGCCGCTATGAGTAATTTGTGTTTCTCTTCAGCTGCGTAGACGAGCTTCTGCCAGCGAGCAGCTACGCTCTCGGCGACGGCCTGGAAGTCCGCACGACGTGGATGGTCGGCTGCAACCGACTGCAGAAGGTAGGAGGCCCGTGCGGCGCATTGCACGGCCTCGGGGTGGGCGTCGTTGAGAACGGGCTGGAACTTGTCGTGATCCGTCTGCATCGCCTCCGCCTCCGCCAGACTGGAGGGAATGGCTGCGGTCTGGTAGAGGATCACCTCGCACTGGCCTATCCACTTCAAGACCTACACGCAAAAAAAGATTCTTCTAGACCTTCCAGGCACACACACACACCATTGCACATTCAAGCCGCAATTGAGACCACAAATAGCCTAGAGAAGGCATGCAGAGGCGACGAACCTGTCTAGATTGTGACTGCAACCGGCGCCAATCCAGTTCATTGCTAACACGCTCGTTGATCTCGTCAACAGTGGCGACAGAGTCGCCCAGTTCAGAGATTAGCCGGTGAACACGTTCCACAGCCGTTTCTGAACTATCACCAACGCCCGAGTCACTAGACCCCGGTCCGCCTGAAATTTCAGATAAAAAAAGCCACAGTAACTCCGCTTTAATATTAAAGTCCAATCTGTGTGTGTGTGTGCCCAATTTACCAGCTGGGAAGTTGACTCCAACCGATTCGAAAATGCGAATAAGTTCTCCACCTTTGTTGAGGACTTCCTCAACTTTCGGAAGAACGGCAGTGCACGAAACATTCACCTCTTCCAAGGCTGCTATACTGGGAGCTTGTCGAGGGTCAGAGATCCAGTAGAGTTCCGAAGTAGCAGGAGTACCGGTAGTTGAGGGAGCACTAGCTGCACCGGAATCAGACGCAGCGGTGGAGGCAGTTGGAGATGTGGAAGACGTTGCAGCAGCAGCTGCTGCTGCCGCGGCTGTAATGGCCGGAACATCCCTTCTCAGACCTTCCATGGAATCGTGAACGTCGGCCTCGAAGAGGCGCAACTGCATGCAAAGCTCCAGACGCATCTGCCGATCCCCGAGAATGTCCCACACCGAGCCACGCTCATTGGTGACCTGTGTAAAGGGGAAACAGGGGAAAAATTGCACCATTGTAGGATTTCGTCTGACATCACTGACGCATTTCGACTAAGACAAATCGTGCATTTTGGATCGAGCTACTGTCAAGCAAGTTCAATAAACAGCGCTGCGAATTTCATTACAAGTTGGCAGAAACTTGAAGTCTAGAAAAATGCGTACACGAACGAAGACAGATGAATCACGCACGGGTAAATTTAACCTCTTTTCATCCACGCGATGTTGACGTGGCTTCATGTTTTCACACAAAAAATTTGAACTTAGGGGGTAGGTTTTCAAGCCGTGGCCACAAGGCTAATGCGGGTGGAGGTTACTCAACGCCGAAAGTAGAGGATACGATGGCCGTGGAACAATTTCGACTGATGTCACAACAGTCCAATAGTTTAGAAACACGTCAATGTGCGCTAACATATAGAGGTACAGAAGCGCAGGAAATCGCCCTTTAACACGAACACGGACATTAAGGACAAAAAAGGCACCTGAGCGAGAATCGATCGAAGGTGGGCGGTCTCCTCGGAGTCCTGGAGACGAGCGATGAGGGCCTCGCCCTCCGAGACAACCCGGTTGACCGCGGCCTCGAGGCTGGCCCGGTGCTGGCGGAAGGCCGTCAGCTCGTCGTCCATGCCCTCGATGGTGGGCGGGAAGTGCTCGCCGGGGTTGTAGTTCTCGGTGGCGTTGTGGAACCAGTTGAGCACCTCCTTTGTGTGGCCGTAGAAACCGCACGCCAGGTCCAACATCTCACGTCTCGCATCGACGGCATTCGTAAAATTGGTGATGCGCTGCTGCAGCTTCGCCGCCTCCTACACACACAAACACACACACCACGATTAGAGGCACAAATACCAGCAGGTGGGAAACGAAAGTATGTGCAAATAGCACAATCTACTTGCAACGGTGGCAACAGAGGAAGATCACAAGGCGATGCCTGTTGCGCAAGGTCGACTTGTAACCAAATCTGCATTCCTAAGTTAGAACAGGCGAATTATGAGAGACTAGAGGAATGGAAAAGAGATTCTTCGTGAAGCCGCGACGCCCGTGTGTATCCATAGCATTACCAAGCCAACTGAATTGGTAAAAATGTTGCTCTTGGGAAGAGGCCGTAGCTCGATTTCCTACGACAAAACCGCTTTGAAAGATCAGCCAGCACTGAGGCACGAAATGGCTAATCTCATTAAGTTACTCTTGCGTTAGACAGAAAATCCAGCACTTATGAAATACGATTCGAAGCGGTGGTTAGGTTGAATCAGGCTGGTTGAAATGACTCTTAAAGGTAACAGAAAGTGGGAATGAGCGCACCGTGAATGACGCCGACTCGTGTTTTTAGCAAATTCTAGCCAACGGTACTCTGTGGAGTGCAAACTCAACCGATAAATACCAAAGTGTGCCCCACCCTTCCCCACCCCGATGCTCTCTTTGTAGTCCATCAGGTTCACATAAACAAACGGTGGATTTCACATAGATTAGCGTCAATCGGCGGCCAACAAATCACGACAGGTGCTGGTGCTGGGAATCACTAAAGAACCGGGCAAAGAGACACTACAAGCGATGCCAGACAAGACCTGCGTCGGTGTCAATCGAGCGAGGCGTAGGACGGGGCGTTAGTCATTGCTGGTGTACGTGCACCGCACCGAAAGGCAGCACCAACATGTTTGTGTGTGTGTGTGTGTGTGTGCGGTAGAGATAGAAAAAAACAGACTTCACCAATGAGAGGCAAGCTGACAAATGCACACACACATAGGTAATACCGACGACACCTAACACTGAATTGTCCAGCCAGCGTGTTTGCTACGCCGCGGTTAAGCATGGAGTGGAGGTTCGTTGACGCCAGGCCCTCCGAACCGTTCCAAACCTCGGGCTCATTTAGCGGAAGTGGAAAAGCAATACGTCCTAAACATACCCCATGTCTAAATACGCAAATCTGAGGCTGTCTGGGGTGGTAATAAGTGGGTCGATATTACTTCCGGTTTACTCTGAGATGGCCTTCGGTAATTTAATGTTCGACGGTCTATAGCAACGCGAAGTCTCACGCTTATTCGAGCAGACGGTGTGATTTTGGGGTGAGCAGATGAAAGCCTCGACAAGTCCGGAAGGAAGGTGGCTTGCGATGAGACCAAGAAATCCACACAAGCCCCCCGCTGTTTGGACACACGTGTGACAGTCCAAGGGCCAAACACAACAGGTTTTTGGCGAGAGAAAGGAGTCTTACCTGGCGGACTTCTCGCGGATTTTCGGCTTGAGAGGCCAGCTCGTCCACCGCGGAGATGAGTTTGTCGGCGTTGGTGAGCGTGTTGGCGGCAACCTTTGAAGGAAAATCAGAAAAAAACGGGAACGCGGTGATTACAAATCGCCTTCACTGCCTACTCAAGCACAATAACGTGGACCGCAAGGTTAACACGTGATTCAGAGCGTAGCCCTCCACCGCCCACCCCAATTCGATGTCTCGAGTTACTTGAAACCGCACATTCACTGTGTCGACGGCCAGAACAAACTCGCGACGCGGGAGAGACAATGAACACGCATTTTACGCGCGCGCATGCCCGATTCCACGTGAAATGTACCAATTATGCTGCGTTAAATGCGTAGTTACGTTAATTTGAAACTGGTGAATTAGTAGAGTGTAATTTACACACCTCAGGCTGTGTATAAACTGAACTTTTTGACCTAGTTTTAAAACAAATCCACAGAAAGGGGTGGATAGAAAAAATTATTAGTCGAGAATGCAATGCAGTTGTAGACCGGAGATATTGTCACTTCAAGCACGATTTAAACGGCAAAAAACCGGGATCATTCCGAAGTGACTAAAGCAGCTAACCTGCTCGAATTGCATGTGAGCGTTGTAGAGTTGCTCGGCACGCTGGCTAGACTTCCCGATGGCGGTCTGGCGAGCCAGGAAGGGCTCTCCGTGGTCGGTGAGCCAGGCGAGCACCTGGCCGACGTCCTCCTTGAACATCAGCAAGGCCAGGCGAGAAGTGAGGCGCGATTTGCGGTCGGTGAAGGTGCGCTCCAATCGCTTGTACCAAGCCCACAGCTAGAAGTCAACAAGTAGGCGTGAGTGGGGGGTGAAGCGAGCTGGTAGTGCAAAAAAGGGAGACATCGCTTCACCTCGTGCACCAGATCGGCGCAGTGTTTGCGGCCCTGGGAGTAGTCGATGGCAGCTGTGAGCGAGGTGTGCGATCCACCAGCAACCGGGGCGCTGAGCAAATCCACCATGGCCCGTCCGTCACGACAGGCCTCCTCATACGACCGCTGAATGTCCTGCCAGCGTTCCTGGATGAGTCGCAGGGCCTGGTTGAGATCGCTAACATTGGTGCCGGAGACGTGACGAACACCGGCCTCCCACGAGGTGCAGCTGTTGAGGAAGGCCTCGGCGCGAGTGTGGAAACTGGTGGAGAGCTGAAGCACCCGGGAACGCTCCTCCAGCGCCGCTGTGAACGACTTCCGCTCGTGTTCCAACTCAGTCGCCTACACGAGGAGGAAAAGTACATTCCGTGGCAGGCGCATCCACGCACAAACCGCATTACAAACAACTGGAATGCGTGAAACACCGACGTCTGTGCACGCAAAGCTGAGGATGAATCACACGGGCTAACACAGGCGATGACACCAGCGGTGCATTTGGTGGTCAAATTTACCCCACGGCGTGTGCGAACGAAAGTTCGTATTCTTACGCAACAAATGCTTTAAAGCCGAGTTAAGCGCTTGAATTTGTATGATGGTCGGTTCCTCCTACGGGGCAAAGAGTGTGTGACAATATCATTGGGAAGGGAGGGTGTGTTTCGCGTTTATCGACTTCCTGTCTAGTGAAACGGGGCCGAAAATCACATATGAGATCGCAAAACATGAATATTACAGCACTGCGACACACACAGAACCTCCAGCCAATCACTGACGTGTGCAATTAGCTAACATAAACACACGCTTTGATGCACTATCTTTTGTGCTAGGATTTAACTACCCTCGGAAACAGGCAGTGTACACGAGTAAGCAGGAAAAAAGAGTTAGGAGCGGATGTCGTTGAACAAGAGAAAACGTCCAAAATGACAGCATCCCAAATCGTAACTTGTGTTTACGCATTCTGACAAGCGCGGCACGCACCGACCTCGGAAAAAGGAGGTACCGTGCACGAGGCTGCGAGCCAATCATCTCACCTGTTTCAGCATCTGTTGGCCGGCAAAGTGTCCGGTGTCGGCTAGCATGCGGGCGATCCCCGTTAGACGCGACACCTGCTCTCGCACACCGTTGCACTTCTGAAGGAACTGTCTGTGCTGATTGTGGAGTTCGACGGCCTTAGATACAAAAAAAATCAATGAACTCGGAGACTGAGGGGGTGGGGAAAAGGAGGACAGTTTGAGGATTGCAGTTGTGACAGCTGTTTTTGGGGCTGATGCAAGCAGTGATCTTGGGTTTAGGAGTAGACCAGTGCAATGCCTAATTGATTCAGTTCTGGAGGGAGTAGGAAGACATCACACATTGCAAGCTACTTGCGAACAACGAAACAGGTATGGTAATCTCTAGACTCAACAAAGTCATTAACTTAACGAAGCATTAAGAGAAAAGCGACCTCGATGGCATTATGGTGTCCTTCAGCGATACAACAATGCCAATCTGACAAGAGCTGCAACCCGAACTCTCAAATGGGAGGTCCTGCAACACCCTCCCTTTCCACGGTTGCAAATCAATGATTTTCGTAAGGTTTTGTTTAGTAATGACACGGAAATGAAAACATAGACAGGTTGTCTTGGTATAATCACTGTGAATAATGTTACAATCGCAAGTCACAATGTAGGACAGATTATAGAAAATATTGGGTGTGACTTGATTTATGCAGATTTTTCTCCGAGCTCCAAAAATATTTCCGCGATCTTTAGCGATTTTGAAAGGATCGGACGCAAGGTTTCAGAACATCGAATAAGTCTATGTGTTACACAACCTCTCAGAATAGCATAGTTCATGATGGCAACTGATAAACAGCACATTCGATGGCGCTGCATATTGTACGAACTCAAAAAAATGTTCTTGCAGTCGACATTGTGTCTTATGAAACGTGTATTTATTGGTACTAACGTTTTAGAAGTGGGAATTCCGACCTTAGTGACCAGACGTAACCCGGACAGCCTTGAAATTTTGAAGATGCGGTTGTACAAGCTCTACCGGATGAAAACTCAACTCAAACGCAAAAAGAGCTTGCAGCAGCTCAGTTAGGAGTTACCCAAACAGCTAATTCCAAGCGTTTGCATCACCAGGTCGGAAAACATAAAAAAACTTGGAATTTGAGTCCCCCACGTGTGCTAGCCCAACAGCGTGTGCCTTTCACGGCCTATCCGCCAGCAACAAAAAAAGGAATTGTTGTGAAAATTGTGACGAGTGATGAAAGGTAGACGACGAGCAGCAGCCCAGTACAACACGATACCCAATTAAAGAAGGTTCTCTTGCATATTTAATGTGACATGAAGCGTGTACATTATTACGAACTCCTAGAAATTGGTCAGACGGCAACTGCGAAACGCTACAGCCTACAATTGAACAAAATGAAGTAAAAACTTGATCAGAAACAGCCAATCAATGGACAAGGAAGCAGCTAAGTCATACTGCTGCTGAGTGACAAGGCTCGACCACCTCAGAAGACCCTCATGGACGTGGCATAGGAAGTGCGCCCACACGCGGCATATTCACCAGACTTGGTCCTTTCCGATTATGCTGTTACAGTCAATGCAGCAGGCCTTAGTGGATAGACAGTGCAAAACGCTGGACGGTGTGTGTTACTTCGGTGATGAGTTTATTGCTTCGTTGCCTGCGATGGTATTTTGCGACAGCATTCGTACGCTAGGCCATTGAAAACGATGGACAATATTTCCAAAATTAAGTCCGCTGTTCTCTATTTTTCTCCTATTAAATAAACTTGCTTAAAAATCTCTACAAATCAAGTCATACATCGATTGCAATTAGCACTAATGTACCGAGATAAGGTGGATTTGCTAAGCACCCCAGTCGCGGGTGGATCGCACACCTCTGGAAAAATCAAATCATACACCTAATAACATTATGTTGACAGTTAAATTTAAACGAAAATCCAAATTGCATGGCTGCCGGGCGTTGTAAGGTTGTTCTAAATATTACGGCACGTGTTTTTTGTGAAGCAGAGAAACGCGCTGACTCATACACCGAGCAGCAACAACAAGGGCATTTCCGCCGAGTCAAAGATCAGTTGCATTGAGGCGGAAAGACCAATAGGCACCGCCGGAAACGAAAAAAGCCAAACCATTACGTCAAAACCGATCAGCTACTGGTTATCCGGGGTACAAAAGGCGGCACTGCACTGTTTACCCAAACACCGGAGGCGATTTCGAGGGCATTCCACCTCAAAGTGTGGCGGCGTGCAACGGAAAAGTACGGCGCCTAGTTAAACCACTGGAAACCAGTCGGTGGCAACTCACTTTCGTGTACGCCGGATCAACAGAATCACTGTTTTTCCGCCTACACACTTAAGCAGAAAACAGTGCGAGTCTTGGAGAGGTCAGGGGTAAGAGACAAGGGCGGGGGCGGACGCATACCTGAGCAGCTGTGTCGCCAATGTCGGCGTGTTCTGTGAGAAGCAGCATGCCCTGTTGATCGAGCCACCCGGTCATTCGGCTGGCGTCGTCTTCGAACAGTCGGAATTGGTAAATCTGCTCCAAGCGGGTTCTGCCAGTCTCCCACTTCTGCTGTAGATGCGCCCGAAACTCGTACAGCTGGGTCACGGTCTGGCGCACTTGGGGAATCAGCTGAAGCAAACAAATAGGAATAATTGTCAACTGGTAAAATTGAGTACACCACGATTTGATCTTGGGCGGAAAAAAAGTGTCATCAATGTCGCCCGCAAAACGTCGATGACCTCAGGGTGGGCCCGTTCTCAAAGCCAGAGCTAAAAAACCTCGAGTAAACGAACAGCAAAGACGCTGGTTGAGTGCTAAACGTCGATACTGGGGTGTCAGCTTGGTGGAACCAAATATACGTCAGATCGACGGCATGGGTATGAAGTGTGGGACTTTGAATTAGCAATTTCGAACCATCTTTTATCAATTTTGAAGAAAAAACGGTAAAGGGCTGCCCACCGATTCATGTTCACTAAATCGAGGCGATTGCCTGAACCAAAGGGATAGGAAATCATCCTCAATAAATGCGGCTGTCTGCAAAAGGTCACAACGTCGAAATCATAAGGGTCAAGTGTGCTAATGACGTTAATGACATGAAGCGCCGAATGACCTACTGAATAGAGGGTGTTCACGCGCACTAGACTTATCATGAATGCACCAAATTGTACATGCAGAATGCAAATGCAGTACGCACTCGACGTGAATGCATATCACACACACGAACACACACACACACACACGAACACACACACACTGCTCGTCTACACTTTGAGA